CCAAATAAATATGGCGACAAAGATGAGGACAATAGTCCGAATAATGTAAATAATGTACTGATTTTTTATATGTTCTCCAACCATCTTAACTATTCACATCAACATATCTCATTCATACACACACACACATACAATTTTCTTTTTTACTATTATGTTCACCCTGTACAAGACCGAAGAGGTAGAGGGTTACAACAATACATCACTGCAATTCAAATATTAACTGCTCAAATCAGCCCTCCATTATTCACACAATTTATAAAACTTCACAAAGCAACCAAGAATTGATTTGAACTCAGACTGATTGACTAAACAAATTTGAGTAATAATCACTCATCAACAAACTCAATCGTTCTGCTTCACATCAAAATATAGATTGATTAACTAGATATCTGAACACCAAGTTCTCCAGTTGTAATCGCAAACATATACTATCTATAAATCTACAATAAACTCAAATGTTATTCTTATATTTTAAATATATTCTCTTTTCCACTGCACTTGTTAATCTCTTATTTGATATAATTTCCTGTTAATGTATTCATTTTTATCAAAACATTTGCCTGTCAACAGAAATTGGATATTTACAGTAACTGAAAGGGAAAAGAAGAAATAATTTAGACTATACCTCTTTGCACACACCACAGATATTTACTACTAGCAGTAGAGCCCGGCATTGCCCGGGGATGTAACAGTAAGAGATAGATCAAGTATCAACCATCATAAAGACTGAAAAATAAAATTGACAAAGATTATTGTTTAAGGTTGACGGACATGCATGTCTTAATTAGTATTTTTTTTTTTTTTTTTACAAATTGGTCAAACCCAAACTCAAACAAAAACATTGTTTTCAATCATTATGAGTCTACCGATTGAATAGAATTTTATTATAAACAATTGCCTTGTAAATGGAATTTTTAAAGCATTCTGAATGTAAAAATAAAGAAAAAGGTGTGCAAGACAATAAGAAACACTACCTGCCAAAAAAAAGTGAAGTTTTGTTGAAATCGGTTGAAAAATGTAGGAAATCCGATCCCATATGTAAAGGAACACACACACACAAACAACCTGGGTTTTATAAGTATAACTCGATATGAGTTGTCCCCCTTTCATTCTGGCGACAGTGATGCCTCTTAATCATGTTTTCAAATTGATTTCGTGCAAAAACAATTGTGTTTTTCCAATTTTTGGCGCTGTCAGCACCACCGCAAGGTAATTTTACATAGTCCTGTGAAGTTTTGTTGAAATCGGTTGAAAAATGTAGGAAATCTGATCCAATATATAGACGAACAGACACACACACACACAACCTGGGTTTTATAATAAGTATGATTAAGCATACAATTTTCAATGAGTTTAAACCTCATCTTAATTCATTACTTATTACAAAGTAAAAATTGTAGTAGAATGTGCATCTGTCAAAAGCCAAATATAAAGATATAAATTTATCTACACATCTAAGGATATGAGTTATGGTGTAATGGATATCGGCTTGGAATGAGAAATCAGATAGCTGAGTTCAAATTCCAGTCGGATTTGTTACATTCACTTATGTGCAAATACCAGCTCTTCTCCCCCCAAATATGGGTTAAATAGCAGAACAGATTGAGCCCTATAACCTTGGTTAGCAACCAGTCTACTGCAGAAAGAAACAGCAACCTATTGCAGGAAAATCTTCTGCCTCCTTAATCATGAATCGAAAGAGACATGATCACCCAAGCGTTTATCACGTATGAGAGTTAACTCACACATCTATGTCAGTTGACTTGATATGATGAAATTTCATTGATCTGAAGAAATTTCCACTCCATAGATTATTGAGAAATGTTTCCTAAGTAAAATATATTCTGGTTTTAAAAAGCAACTTTTTCAACCATAAAAAACAGTTATGTGAGGTAGCAATATGACAAGAGACAAAAATGTCTTTGAGGTTCAACATAAAGTTTATATGATAAAAAAGGCATTTATAAAAACTAATTTTATCATTTTTTTTTATTATTTGTAGTGATAACATTACTTTGTCAAGTATATAATTGTATTTGCTCTGTTACCATGGTACAGCTCTTCTATTGTTTTATTTTCCCTTTGTCCCCTTTTTAATTTAGGTTAATTTTAGATAGTCACCATTTTTTACCATTTCTTGTTTAGCCCATAGTAATTATGGAAACTGGCACAGTAAAACCACAGTGTCAAAGCACATGGCTCCTACTTTCTTATCCCCTGAAATCTACCACCAACTACAGTGGGCTATGATAAGTTTTTAGTCACCCTTAATTACAGCAATTTTGGTTTGTGTGATAATGTATCTTCTTTTTTTGTCAGGCGATACTGTGTTAGTATCAAGCTACTCTAATCTATGAACGATAGTTGACTTATATTTTGCAATGAAAGTTCACAGAAGTAAGGAAATTGGTGAATTTCAATGAGGGCAAATAATAGGATGGCATCAGTGTGGCAAGTCAAATAGAGAAATTGCTAAGTTTTTCCAGGTTAATTATCAAATGGTTAATAATATTGTCAAGAAATGTAATGAAGAAGGCCATTGTCATGTGGAACAATGTTCAGGAAGGCCAAGCATTGTGTCTGAGCGAACGAAAAGGGTGCTGAAGAAGGAAGTCATCAGAAACCATCATCAGAGTATCAAAGATGTCGTCAGCAGCATGGAAATGTCACCAAATGTGGTAAGAAAGATTCTGAAAGAGCTAGGCTATCAAAGAAGAGTTGCAAGAAAGAAGCGCTTGATTTCAGAGGTTAACAGGAACATGCATATGGACTGAGCAAGAGAATTTGAGAGCAAAGATTATGAATTTTGGCAGTCTGTAATTTAAAGAGATGAAAGTAAATTCTGCCAATATTCGAATTCAGGACAGATGTATATTTTGAGAAATCAGAATGAGACTTAGAACACTGAATGTCTGCAGGCAACTATGAAACATGGAAGGATTGGAGTAATGGTGTGGGCACTGTCTGGTCTGGAGAGAAATCTTAGCTGATTCTTGTTCATGAGCTGCTGAATGGTCCAAAACACTGTCAAATATTAGAGAAAGTAATACTCCCACTATTTGAAACCAATCAGATTGACAAGAATGTCTACCTTTTTCAAGATAATAGAGCACCATGTCATACAAGCAAAGTAGCAAAGGCCTGAAAGGAATCACAAGGAATCAAGTCACTGTGATGGGTAGCCCAAATTCCTGACATGGATCCAGTAGAGCACATTTGGGAGCACCTTCACTGAAAACTTTGAGAGCATGCACCAAAATCACATCAGTGGCAACCCTTAAAGAAACATTGCTAAAGGTGTGGCAAAATATGGATCAGACGATTGTTGTTAACTTGATCAAATCCATGAAAAATCAAATACAATCACTGAAACTAGCAAATGGAGGACCTACTCTATAGTAGTTCCAAATACTGTTTATTCATGTTGAGTAGGGATTATGTAATTAAATTTTGAAATTGGATGTAATTTATTTCTCCTGGCTAAAAACTTTTCTTAGGCCACTGTATAGCATCACTGGTATGTACCATTTTAACCTTTTTCTCTCTGCATTTGTCTCTTTTAATGTTGCATTATTATTTGAACATTTGATTAGGGTAACTTAATTTGCTTCTGTGTTTCCTCATGTAGAACTCCTTTCAACACCTGTTGACTGTTCTCACACAGTGTCATACTGTATCTTCATGTAACTTTCTTCCTTTCTGTAGACTTATCACTATAAACTGTAAAGCGAACTATTTGATACTTAAATTACTCATTTAGACCCTTAGTCTCCAGTTACGTTACATCTTCAGCTCCCATTGTCATATTTCTAATTTCCTTTATTTTTGGCCTTTTTATTTATTTTGTTATTTGGACTAAACAATCTCAAGTTTCTATTTCTTTTTCTAGTTTCATTCTTGTTGTAACTTAGAAAGGGTTACTGAATGAGGAATAACCAAAATGGAGGTTGGAAATGAAATGGTAATCTTTATAACATCAACAAAATACAATACTCACTCATGGCATGAAATAGATAAACCACTGCTAGTGGTGGACAACTTAGACAGCATTTTACCCCCATTTACAATAGTGTCAAACATATTTATGAGGATTGGGACATACCCATTAATGTTCATAGGTATGGTATATAACAACTCTTTTGGCTTTCAATAAACCTGCTAATGAACAAGACTTTGTCTGCAGAATTTTGATTGTCGTAATGTGTTTATATGGCTCTCTGAGGTACACACTCACATGAGATGGACACATATCAGGAAACAATACAATATTAACAATAAAAACGAAAACTGAATATTTTATAAATACATTTTATCCATGATGTATTGATATAGACAATATGCAGTTCATAGAAAAGATTTCTGGTTTCACTGGTTGGTATTTGTTAAATGGATTTTAATCAACAAGGATAAAAGAAAGCAGGATAATTAATAAACATATGTCAAGTGATAGACAGAAAAAATGCAAATGGGGATTGTCTTTTGGTTCTAACAATCAATAACAAAATAAAGCTGATCTTTCTGTTAATACTGAATCAGTCAGGAATAAACTTTTAAGTTGTTTTTTTATTATGCCTCATACTACAAGTATCTGAGACAGCATTAACAATTTTTGCTGAGATTGCAAGAAAAATATGTTTAAAAATAAACATAAACTTTAATATAAATAGAAAATGATTTAAAAATCATCAGGAAAACTGATATCACTTACATTAAGTAATGCTTATGATAAAATGGTTACTACACACCTCTTCTTCCTATGATTAATTATAAGACTTTCAACCATTGTTGTGTCTGGTATTATTGTGAATCCATTTTTTTATATTAACCATTTTTACCATAAATATTTCTGCATTTTTACATTTGCTCTTTACAAATATAAAAAGGATGTTATTAAAAGTTCTAAATAAAGCATATTTGCTTTATGCCCAATGGTAAAAAATATATCATTAAAACCATTCATGAAATATATTCTTATTCCTGTTCTCTAAGAAGTTTAGAGCTCAGTATGTTTGGCCAACCCAGTAGATTACATTAAAAAGAATAAAAGCTAAGAGAAATAGAACACGACAATATTTATCCAATGCCTGGGGTACTTTGGACAGCTTACAACAATTAAGGATGTTCTTTTGCTCGTCATCAGCAATTTTATATTCTGCAACTTCTCTTTCTGTAACCATATTGTTTGGTGAAATATCCTCCGTGTTACTTTTCAATTTCCGTTGACTAATCAGCTACAAATAAAAGAAAAAATAGAACAGAATAAAAATGATATTTCTTCATATCAATTTTTATTAATCGGGATAACCAATTACATGTTAACCATAGCCAATCTAGCATCAGTTGGACTTATATGATGTTAGATTAATAGTTTTACTAGATTATATGTGATGAGGTTAGATAAAAAAAAAAAAAAAAAAAAAAACACAAATTAATTTTTCTTTCTGTTTCTTTAAATAATACAATTTTAAACAACTAATATTGTATAATATAGTTAAATTTTTCTACAAACAAATCACTATCAATTTTTTTCAATTCAACCATAATCATTCAATTTGAAAACACCAAAAACACTTTATTTATGAGAACAACTGCTTAGGCTAAATTTTAAAAATAAAATATCAATTGGAATTGCTTGCTTATGACTTTGAATTTCCACTAACTTGTTCTATTTTCACTACTAGCACTACCAATACAATAGTAGATGGATGGTGCAACAACCCAGGAACTTTGATATAACATCCAGGTTAGCAATAAAAAAAAATATGGGAAAATAACATAAAAGTATTTTTGTAACATAAATAATATTTTTTATTTGTCACTTGGGTTTGAATCTCAACATGGCTGATTGGTCAGGTGATTTTTTTGATGTTATTGGTTGGCTTGGGAAGGTAATCCCAGCATGTTGTACTGTTGAAAAATGTCTGAATACCATACCATAGGTTGACCCAAGAATTATGAGTGAAATTTGGGAGATGAAACTTGTTTAGAAGCCATCAATAATTATGTTAGCACAAAGTCCTAAGTCATCATGACCAAGGTTTTGAGTATACTTTGTTCAACTACTGATCACACCAGATTATGCACTCTCTCCTTCGAGCTGTCTTATAAACATAGTTGCAGTATAAACCACAGGTTGGCTGTGTGTGTTTTGAAAAAACACAAATGTACCTGAGAAGGCATATGCAACAGTCTTTAGGCAGGTGTACTAAGAAACAAGTAGCCAACCATTATTATTATTATTATTATTTTTATTATATAATATATTACATTGTTATAAAAATATTATTACAAAAATACAATGAGAAAAACATCAGTCAATTGCTGAAAGAGTCAACTGAACAATTACAAAAATGTTTGTCTATGAACTCTGAGGTCAAGATGCTGAATATAATATCAATCAGCTCGTATCAAATTTTATTTGTATCAATCTTATAATATATTTGTTGTAACTGAGGGAGAGGTTACTGAATAGAATAATCAAATGAAGTTTGGAAATGAACGATAATACCTAGGGCAAGAACAACACATATAAGATTTGCCAGTGGTGCATAGAAGAAGTAGTCAACTGCTAGAAGTGACTCAAGTGAATTCCATAATGAATCTCCAACTGCAAGATATCTACCAACTACCCCATGTGGTCAGATGTGGCACAAGGCCGAATTTAATGTGGAGTATCCAAGCCCATATGCTCGGCCAAAAATTCCCTATAGAATGGGGTTGGGTAGCTGTTTCCTGAGATGAGACACTGCCCTTCAACATAGCTGAGTCTGGGGATCCTCTCTGCCTGGAGGCAAAGAGTTTGGCCAGCACAGCTGAAGACAAATCTCCAACTGCAGACCAACATACAGTATTTACTACTGTATTTATGGAAATGGGGACATACCCATTATCATTGGTAGGTATGCTACAACAATATTATATAAAAGAAACAGATAACTAATCATTATAAGTTTATTCTTCACCAAGCATTCATGTATTGTAATCATCTACAAATTTCACCTTTGTCCAATACTCCTCCCTGGTCTTTTCAACAGGAATAGAGGTTTATCCCTTGTTTCCTGTTTAGGATTGGGTTTTTGGTTCCTTCTAAAGTTTTCTCAATCTATTTTCCTCCCAGTAACTCCTTGTGTCTTAGTGGCATTATTATCTTGCTTGGGGTGAATTCAAAAGCAAAAAAATATATACACTAATAATTCTACCAGACAGTAATATGAGTAAATGTCTTTAGTAAAATAAGTCTTAAAAAAGTATATAAATCCATTTATCTGAAATTAAATCTGTTTTATCACACACAGAGCATAAGCATATATTTTTTAAGAAAATGTAAATAAAAGTTCTATAAGATTTTAAATTAATCCAAATGAAGAAAAATTAAATTTTCAGAATCATAAACAAAGAAGATTCTTCTCGATAATACAATACACCTTTGTAGTAAATTTCACGAAGACTAAACAAAAGTCTGGTGTAGCCCACAAAAACACAGAGAGTCTTTCATACCAACAGCTATAATTATACTTGTACTAATGTAAGAAAATATGAACTTTAAATAACTAAAAGGTTTTTACTTACTGATATCACTGATGGTAACTTGGAAGGCTTCTTTTTCTGTGATGCTTTTTTGGTAAGGCAGTAGTTGAGTAATATGAACTCAACAAGGGCAAAGAATACAAAACCAAGACAAACAGTCAACCAAATATCCAAGCCCTTAATATCGGTGGATAAGAATTCTTTGGCTGGGCTGTGGGTACCAAATTCGAATTGTGGGTAATCAAAGTAAGTAATGATGAGTCCAAGAGATATTCTTGCAGCTGTGGCCTGGTAGTCCACCCAGAAAGAGAGCCATGCTATAATCACAAGGAAGGTGCTTGTCAGATAGACGGCCATAATTCGGAGACTCATTTTTCTACCCAAACTGATTTCTGCATCCAACAGAGAGACATGAGCTGAAATGTAAGAACAAAAACAATACATGTGGGGTTGTTGAAAAGTTCTCAGTCCAACCAAGAAGGGATTCCAAAATAAATTCTCATGGTCATTTAGTGAGATATTGGGAAGTGACTCAGGCTAAGAACTTTTCAGCATTTCTTGGTGTGTGTGTGTGTGTGTGTGAGTGTGTGTGTAAGATACATATACAGAGTGTGATGGGTAAATTGTTGTCATTTTAATTTTGCATATGCATGTTGTTTATTTTTGATTTTGTCACCTACACATAGTAGTGTCAAAGATGAGCTGAAGGCAAGGATTATGGCAGCATTCACCAACTTAAACAAGGAGACCATCCAGAAGAGTTGCAGGAGATTCTTAAGTCATTTGGAGTCCATGGTTAAAGCTAATGGCGATTTTATTAAATAGATTTATTCTTTAGTATTTCAAGATATTTTTGTGTAATTTTGGTAAATATATCTATTAAAATGAGATGTCAGTGTTATTTTCATTTTTGTGTAATTTAGACGACAATTTATCCCTCGCACCCTGTATATACTGGATAAATATGCAGAGAGTGTAACAGTTCTTGGCACAGTAAGTGAAATCGTCAAGCCAAGCTCAATTTTAATTTAGAGTTGATTCTGTTGTATTTACTTTGCATTAATGCCCTTGGAAAAACATGAATCTATCTTCCTCCAGCTATAGGTTAAATAGTTGAAGGAAGATGTGAGTCAGGCTGAGTTCTCTGTTCTTGGTTGACAGCTAGTCTAGACAGAAAAAAATCTGAATTCAAACCTGAGAAAGGATTTTAGAGATTTTGTGGGATACTATTTATATTTGAACTATTGTCCTCATCTTTGTTGCTATTATTACAATGTTTCAGTCATTGTTCCCTCCGGCCTTCCTCATGTGTATATTGATCTGAGTAACCAGTGCACAATCTCTATTATCAATTATTCTGAAAGTATAACTGTTCTAAACAAGCTCCACTAATATATTCACATCATCTATGTGGGTGGTTTAGTGGTTCAGTTGTAAACAAACTTGTTGAAAGCAAAAGAACATGTATGTGTGTGTGTGTGTTAGTACATAAAATTTTAAGTGTTTATGAATTATAGATAGATTAATAAGCAAAAGTCTTAAATGGTAGTGTGCTTTAAAATGCTGATATGGTGAGGGTTTTTTATCACTAATTCAGGTTAACAGAAGGAAAACCAGTTTCACACCAAAGCAATAACTCACATTTCTCTATGAATTAGAAAAGTTCTTATAAAATTCAGCATTTATTAGCATAGTTGAAATAATAGAGCTAAGAGTTCTGTTTTAATCCCACATACATGACTAATCATACACATTACTATATATTAACATCAGATTAGAAAAAAATCATCTGATTTCAAAAATTCTCTTTAATACTAGAAGTATATAAAAATCTTTACATTGTATCAAAAAATTCAAAAGTACTATTGAGTTTGGATTGTTACTGTTTACCATCAGAAGAAATATTTTTTACTAACTTATTTATATTGTGGGTGCATGTTTGTTTTTTTGATTTCAGCAGTATTAAAGGTATCTTATGCAAGTGTAGAAAATATATAATAATAAATTTAATAATGATTTTTCTTTGAATTAAAACAAAGACTTGAAAATACAAAATTTCCATAAAGACACTTCTGACAGTCACACATCTAAACTTGTATTTATATTTAAAGTTAACATTAGAATTAGTCATAAAATAGCAGTTATTAAAGATTTTATAGAATTTTATGTATTCTGTGTGTATGGTGGGTCAGTGTGCTTTCCTTCATTAAATCCACCAAAACGATTATGTAAATATCTATAAAGTAAATTCTTTTGTCTCATTTTTATACATAGACAATTTTCTTAAACAGTTAAGTTGAAAACTTGTACAGAAAACTCTTTCTGTCAGTATTATTTTTTAAGATTTTTTGATTTTCAAGAGCATTAAGGATGAGAAAAGGAGTTATTGAACTTTCCAGGAGGTTTGTATAAATGATACACAAATGAACATTCAAAAATTAAGAGATGTGATCCTTAATTTTTTATTTTAGACTTTGGTTGAGAAGTACTCATCAATAAACAGAATTATATGAAAAAATTTTAATACACAGATAAAAATCTTTCAAATAACAAAATATTATTAAATATAATGCTTAACAAACATGAATTATTTAATAATATATTAAAGGGGAAATAATATAATGATATACTATTAGTAAAAATCCTGTTTCAGACATGAAATATTATTAAATTTAAAAAATAAACTAAATGATATATATTAATATAATTTTAAAATATATATTGTAAGATATATTTAGTTTGCTAAAAATATTAACATTAGAATCAGTAACAAAGGTTAATAAATATCAAATTATTTTTTTTACTAAAGGTTCAAGGCCTAACAGCCAAATAAAGGATTACTGATTGAGGTTGATGCATGTAAGAGAAGGAGATAAGAAGTGCAGTTTATGAGGATATATATGAAAGATAAGCAGTTAACCCTAGACTTGAAGAGGTTAAGATTGTAGTGATCAGGTAAAGTAGCAGTTCTTGGGAAGAAGCTGTCAGAATGGAACTTCCTGCTTACTAATGGAATATGAAGGAAATGGGGGTGATTCATTCCAGTGTATATGGAATGGCAGCTCTTAGCTATAAAGGTCAGAACTAGTAGAACTAAGGAATGCAGATTATCAGAACATTTGCCATGGATATAGCAATAGAGTGATGTGGGATAGGAGTGGTATAGTGTCACTAACAAGGCCGTGAAGATGTTTTTGAACTCTATCAAGACTGGAAATTTAGGCCTGGGCAGCTCCAGCCCAGATATGGCAGCAATACTCCATCCAAATAATACTTTGTTACTAAGCAAATTTAAATTAATTTGCGATGAGAATGTAAATTAATTAGCAAATAAGAAAATAAAAACAATTTGTCTTACCACCAAACTGAGTAATATTCCTTTCAGTTAAGGAAATCTCCTTCAGGTAAAAATTTGGTATTTCCAATATACTGACAGACTGTTTGAAATCTGTTTTGGAATTCCACCTCAGAACAAGTTCATCCACATTGTAATAAACTGAAATGTTAGCAAAAACAAAAAATAATATAATATTTCTAAATAAATTTACTCACCTAGTTACTCTATATTTTTTGGTCTTATTTCTATTTTACTGTCAGGATTGAAATGATTTTTTTTTGTTTGTTTTTTGTGTGGAGAAGAAGAGAAAAAAATTACAGTCTTAAGACTACTTAAGATTACTTCATTAACCCTCTACTGAATTTTTTAATAACTAGAAAACTGGATAATAATGATAATAATGAAGATCAATATCTATATACATACATGTTTTGACTTAAATATAGGTGCTTGATTTGCTCAACAAAAATACAAGATACACTCTCCAAATTTAAATTTTAAAAATTTCTAACAATATTTTTAGCATTTATATTTGTCCCATACAATAATATTAATTTTTATTGTATGTATGAGTAAATTAGAAATACTTTGAATTTAAATTTGAACACATTGTCCTGTATTTCTATTTGACAAATCTGGCAAAACTAAGCTTGAACCAACTTTTAGAAATATGTTTTAAAACCTAATTTCCTAAAGTATCAATGTATGTTAAAAAAATACATATCATGAAAGACAAAACTCAGATCAAATCATGAAATGAAAGTTATTCTGAATGGCTACTAATCCTTTCATACTAACAAGGGTGTCCCACATGGCTCTATCCTTAGTCCTATGCTGTTTTTAATTTTAATTAACGACATTTCCGATGACATCAGCTCCTAACTTGGCATCTACATTGACAACACAACCATTTACTCTTGCTTCGATAGTAAGGTTGATCAATCCAACAGGATCAAAATGGTAGCCAATTGCCAAAACGACCTCAAGTCCATCATTAACTTGGGCAAAAGATGTTTTTTTTTTAATACTAACACCTCCAAAACTAAACTTCTCTCCATTAGTAATCTGTGAGACCCTTTTCTGCCTTCAATCAGTATGGCTGGTGCTAACCTCCAGGAAAGTAACTCATTGTACCTTCTCAGGCTAACATTCTCAGCTGACATGAATTAGAAAAATTATATTGAATCAATTGCTAGGTTTGCTGCTATGAAAGCTGGGTCATTGTGTCATGCTAAGCAATTTTTCTCTTTAGAATATATCTTACATATTTATAAGTCTATCATTCTTCCATGCTTTAAATATTGCTGCCACATATGGTCTGGTGCTCCTACTATACATTTAGAGATTCTTGATAAAATCCAAAGAAGAATCTGGAATGTTGGTAGTCCAGTCACTTTTCCCTTGCTGTAATGTAATTTCTCTGTGCCTTTTCTATAAATACTTTCATGATAATTCTTCTAATGAACTTTCCTCTATGGTACCTAGACTTTATGAATTTAAGTGCAGTGCTAGATTGACAGTATGGTCTCATCATTTTACAGTTGAAATGGCTGCTAGATGTAACAGTAAGTTCTATGCTAATAGTTTCTTCTATCACACTTCTCTCTTGTGGAGCTTCTTCTGGCTTACTGCTTCCCAGTTAACTTTGATCTTCAAAAAATTTAAATGTAATGTCAATGTTACCTCCTGTCTTCTTAACTCTTGTTTTCTTATTATTCTTTCTCCTGAATAGTATTTTTCCTCATTCTGTCTAACACTTAGTAACCCCTCGCATCTTAAAGGCTTTATTGGCTTGCTTGGGGTGAAATGATTAAAAAAATCCCCAAAGTATTGGTACAACTAACAGAACACTTGCCAGATGACCAAAAGTTAACTTAATAAAAATAAAAATTAACATCAAAAACCAAGAAAAAAGCAATATAAGAAAACAAAAAAAGAAACATAAACTAAGAAAAGGACCAGATATATATATATATATATATATATATATATATATATATATATATATATATATATATATATATGTGTATATATAAGTATATATATATATATATATATATATATATATATATATTTAATGAAAAAACAGACCACTTTAAAAGTACCATTAAATAATTTATTTCACCAAAATCCTTTTGAAGGACTCCGGATCATCAGGTAACACTTCCAACAATGAAATGAAAGGGAAAATGGGATTAGAAATTGATGGGTAGTGTAATTTTGTAATTTAACAGAGAGGGTGATCAACGAGACAAGGTATGGTATAGAGAGGGTAAATTTCATATTTCTCTTAAGCATGTTTTATATTGGGGTAGGAGGAGTGACCTAATCGTGACCTATTTAGATGGTTAACTTAAGGAAATGATATATAGGAATGGGAGGGTAGTGGGGAAAAAGAAAAGGAAAATGGAAAGGAGAGAGGAGATGACAGACAAGTAATGCAGATATATCTAAATGAGTGTTACGGCAAAGAGAGAGGGGGAGAGGGAAGTGAATCGAAAAGGCTGTAATTTTGTTTTAACAAAATTATGTAAAATATAGATTTCAATGCTTGATAGAAATTTAGATGTCTAAAAAATGATGAATGTTATCAATTTAAACATTTAGTTTTTTAAGTAAATAGTTTAGGGACTTAATATAAGTTAACTACTATTTTTATTAGCACATTAGGGATTTAATATAAGTTAACTACTATTTTTATTAGCACATTTATCAAGAACATATTAAAGAAATATTTAAAATTATAATAGTTTATTTACCTGACCAATTGTACTTTCATAATATTGTAAAAAATTTTGGTAACAATAACATCTATATTAGTTTTACTTTAAATCTAATTTATGAATGCAATTTTTCTTTATTATTATATGGGTAAACTTAATTATGGTTTAGGTTTCATTATTTAATAATATTTGAGGGTAATATTAAAGATTTTTTTCTTCTTATATGTATCTCACAAAAACATATTCATGCAAATCCACATATACATACGTCCATTTACATGTGCAAATACACACAGACACACGTGCAACAATATACACAAATGTTCATCCATCTTCATACATAAATTACATATACACACATACATTTCTCAATCATTACCTATATTTTAACGTTTGAAATTTATTTACATTTTAGTTTGATTAAATCTAAAAAACTATGGATCAGAGCTGATAAATCCAAGAACATTTACAAGATTAATCCATCAGAATACAATCATCTGATTCTGAACAAAGTATCTAACTCTTATAAAAAAGATAATAACTCCAAACACCTATCCTCCATACACAGAGATACTGCCAAATTCGCATTTAAACATAATATTGCTGATAGAATGGGCACTACTCACTTAAGATGCCTACCTACTTTTTAAAGACCATAAACCTAACTTTCAAAATAATATACATTCCAGACTAATAAATCCCTCCAAATCAGAGTTAGGAATAATTTCCAGAAACATTCTAAAAAGAATAAACACATCTATATTAGAAAATTATCCCTTAAATCTTTGGAAAGATTCATCTGACGCCATTAACTGGTTCCAAAATATAAAATCTAAAAATAAAGCCACTTTTATCCAATTAGACATTATCGATTTTTACCCCTCCATTTCTAAAGTGTTATTGGAAAATGGCTTAAATTTTGCTAAAAACTATACAGAGATTACTGACGAGGAAATAAAAATCATAATGGATTCCAGACAATCTGTACTGAGACTTAATGACACTACTTGGTTTAAAAAGAACAAAGACAATTTCGATGTTCCAATGGGAGCATTTGATTCTGCTAAAATAGCGGACCTAATAGGGATATATATTTTAGATATTCTGAGCAGATTCCTTAACCCGCAAAATGTAGGGCTTTACAGGGATGATGGTCTCATTATTATACCTAACTCTAATGGACCTCTAACATCCCAACTCCAGAAGAAAATAATTAAGGCTTTCAAATATATAGGATTTAAAATAGAAATATCATCGAACCTGAAAATAGTAAATTTTTTAGACGTAACATTTGATCTCGAAAATAACACTTATAAACCCTTCCAAAAGGAGAACCAATCGCCCATATACATTAATATCGACTCAAACCACCCTATGGCAATTATAAAACAGATCCCTAACACTGTAAATACTAGAATAAATAAACTATCTTCTAATGAAAATATCTTTTATCAAAATAAATCAAAATACAATCAAGCCCTATTAAAAAGCAAATTCAAACAAACACTCACTTATATAGATAAATCTATTAACAACACATCTTCTAAATCTAAAAATAGAAAAAGGAAAATTATATGGTTCAACCCACCTTTTTGTAAGCTTTCGAACATTAATATAGGAAAGTACTTTCTTAAACTTATAGATAAACATTTTAAAAAAGATAAACTATTAAAAAGATGTTCAATAAAATGAATTTAAAAATTAGCTATTCCTGCATGAACAACATAGAAAAAATTATTAGCTCCCACAATAGCAACATTTTAAATAAATTTCATAATCAACTACAAAAAGATCCTAATACGAGCCAAAAGACCAAATCTACCTGTAACTGCAGGGAAGGATCTGTTTGTCCAGTAGAGGGAATATGTTTGTCCAAAAACGTAATATACGAGGCTACAATTTTCCCCAAGGAAGATATCAAACAGAAGATCTACATAGGGATATTGGCGGGAAATTGGAAGCAACAGTTTTATAACCATCGCCAATCCTTCACATATAAATCAAAGAAACACCAAACTGCACTTTCTAAGCATTATTGGGAATTGTTAGAAAACAAATTAACCCCACAAGTAAAATGGAGAATCATCTCGAGAGCTAGGACTCCGATAAACTTCAGAGACCGATGCAATTTGTGCATTAAAGAAAAAATCTTAATAATAAAGCATAAGGATCCGGACATACTGCTGAACAAGCATAACGAGTTGATTTGTAAATGCAGACATAAAAACCACCTCAACTTAACAAAGTATGTTTAGAAACAACTATTTAAAAAGGGAAAATATTAATTTTGTTTTTTGAAATGAATGTATGTATACATGGATGTTATGCTTGTTGATATGTACGCAGATGAACATTTATATGTGAATTTATCTATTTATATATATATGTATGAACGTTTTGGATAAGGGTGCCTATGTGGATATATGTACTCTTTTAATTGTGGGCACATATGTATGGAGGTATGTGTGTATATGTATGGGTATATATATATGCATATGTGTGAGTATAAATATATAAGTATGGGGTATGTTTAAGTGCTAACGTTATTTTTGGTGCTAGGTATCATTGTATATATGTGTATATAAATATATGTGTGTATTTTGCATATGTGTGGATGTATGTGTACAGGCGTGTGTTTGTGAATGTGTATAGGTGTATGTGTATGTATTTTGTGTGTGTATGTACGGATATATATATGTATACATATATTTATATATGTGTAGTAATTTGAATATTAATCTACTTGTAATCTGTATATGTACGTAGATGTATATACCTTAGAATTAATATTTGTAATATATTTGTGATTAGATGTATAACATTGTAATATAAATACATATGCATGTGTGGATAGTTATGGGTAGAATTTTTTTATATGCTTTTTTTGTATATAATCGTGTGTAGGTATGTAGGTATTTAAGTATATATGTGTGTGTATGTGTATATATGGTTGTATTGTATATAAGGGTGTATATATGTATATGAGTATACCTATATGTATATATGTATATGTAGATGGATGGATAATTAGATAGATTATTAATAGATATATATGGATATATATATATATGTATGTGTCTATACGTATATGGAATATTTTTAAATGGAAGCACTTGGGTCATTCTCTTGGTATTTTAAAATTGCTTTTTCTCTTTTAATGTTCTATAATTTATTTTGGAGAGTGTACTTTTATCTTCTTAAGGGAGTTTCATCTTAAAATTGATAATTTTAATTATGCCACTCTTTAACTATTAATAGTAATAATAATATTAACGAAATCCCTTTAATAATGAAGCACTTCAGAAGTCACCTAAAGTTTAACTATAACTATAAAATCAAACTAAAATGTAAATAAATTTCAAACGTTAAAATATAAGTAATGATTGAGAAATGTATGTGTGTATATGTAATTTATGTATGAAGATGGATGAACATTTGTGTATATTGTTGCACGTGTGTCTGTGTGTATTTGCACATGTAAATGGACGTATGTATATGTGGATTTGCATGAATATGTTTTTTGTGAGATACATATAAGAAGAAAAAAAAATTTTAATATTACCCTCAAATATTATTAAATAATGAAACCTAAACCATAATTAAGTTTACCCATATAATAATAAAGAAAAATTGCATTCATAAATTAGATTTAAAGGAAAACTAATATAGATGTTATTGTTACCAAAATTTTACAATATTATGAAAGTACAATTGGTCAGGTAAATAAACTATTATAATTTTAAATATTTCTTTAATATGTTCTCGATAAACGTGCTAATAAAAATAGTAGTTAACTTATATTAAATCCCTAATGTGCTAATAAAATAGTAGTTAACTTATATTAAGTCCCTAAACTATTTACTTAAAAAACTAAATGTTTAAATTGATAACATTCATCATTTTTTAGACATCTAAATTTCTATCAAGCATTGAAATCTATATTTTACATAATTTTGTTAAAACAAAATTACAGCCTTTTCGATTCACTTCCCTCTCCCCCTCTCTCTTTGCCGTAACACTCATTTAGATATATCTGCATTACTTGTCTGTCTCCTCTCTCCTTTCCATTTTTCCTTTTCTTTTCCCCCCACTACCCTCCCATTCCTATATATCATTTCCCTTAAGTTAACCATCTAAATAGGTCACGATTAGGTCACTCCTCCTACCCCAATATAAAACATGCTTAAGAGAAATATGAAATTTACCCCTCTCTATACCATACCTTGTCTCGTTGATCACCCTCTCTGTTAAATTACAAAAATTACACTACCCATCAATTTCTAATCCCATTTTCCCTTTCATTTCGTTGTTGGAAGTGTTACCTGATGATCCGGAGTCCTTCAAAAAGGATTTTGGTGAAATAAATTATTGTAATGGTACCTTAAAGTGGTCTGTTTTTTTTATTAAATATTAGCTCTGGATTCACATTGAGCTCTCAGGATTTCATCCTCCTTGGAATTACCCATTCGGTTTACCAAGTTCTTCGTAATTATATATATATATATATATATATATATATATATATATGCAGTATGGAGTGGAAAGTCTATCTTGAATCTATTGCTAGGTCAGCTGCTTTGAAGGTCAGTTCATTGTGTTGTGCAACATAATATTTATTTCCAGAATCTATTTTACACATCTATAAGTTTGCCACTTGCCCATGCTTAGAATATTGCTGCCATTGCTGCTGTATACCTTGAACTCCTTGATAAGATCCAAAGAGAATCAGCAATATCATTGTCCTGACCTGGCAGCTTGGCTTCAGTCACTTCCCACCATCCTAAGGTTACCTCTGTGTACCTTTTTTTATAAATACTTTCATGATAATTGTTCAGATGAACTCTTTGTTTTGGTACCTAGACTCTATGAATTTAAGCACAGTACTAGACTGGCATTGAAATCTCATCAATTTAGAGTTGAGCTAGCTAGATGTAGCCATAACTTCTATGCTAACAGTTTCTTTTTTTTGCACTTCTCACTTGTGGAACTCCATTCTAGCTCCATGCTTTCCAGACAACTTTAATCTACAAAAATTTAAAAGCAATGTCAATTGCTATCTACTTTCCTCCCAATTACTCTTTTCTCTCTTTGCTCTGTTTCTGTTGTTAATTCTTTCACACCCTGTAACCCCTTGTGTTTGAGTGACTTTACCTTTCTTGAGATGATTTCAATTAAAAAGAAAAAATAGAAAAAAAAAGCTAGAACAATGTTTTACTCTAGAAGTAGTTTAGTTTTTTTAATGCAAAAATTTAAGAAATGAATGTAAAAAATATGTTGATATTAATTCACATATTTCCACAAATCAAACAAAATTAAGATACACAATCATTTTCATATAGCAAAAAAAAGCAGATAATAACAGAAATATGCAAAAGAACCATAAAACTATACTTTTCTTTTTAAAAAAATTCAATTTAGACTAAATATTTGAAGATCTAAAATTTTTTCTCAGAACCTGATTAAAAAAAAAATTCTAAGTTTCCAACTACTTGATAGGCTGAAAAGTTTATGAACTTCTCCAAAAGTATGAAATAACAGATGAAACAGTAATTCTCTAGAAAATAGAGTTTACTTACAACTCTTTAATGAAATTTCACAGATCTGTCCATCAAGAGGGAATGTACTTAATGACTTTTGACACAAAAGGTTCAAAATATTCCTGAAAAATGTAATAAAAAAAATGAAAGGAAGACATGTCAAAAAAGATTGTACTGAGCATAATGACATACATATATACATAGATATTTACTCATCGGTCTCTATTTTTCTTTACACACACACAAACATATCAACATACACACAAGGGGGAATCAATTGACATATAGTTATGTAAATTTTGAATGAAATTTTCAAAATGTTCAGAACAAAAACAATTGTTGAAAAAAATTGGTGTGCAAAATAAATGTTTTTTTTTCTCATTAGGGTATGGACTTATTGATACACACACACGCACACGCACACACACACACACACACACACACACACGTCATGGATGTTGGTAAAACTCATTGTCGAGTGTGGTGGTGCTCATCAATATTTCCTTCTATGCAAAATGAGTCTTATGTTGGATCTGAAGACACATCTACAGCCACCAGATAATAGAGTAGGAGGATTCAAGGGATTAAGAGCTCTGGCTTTTCTTTGGGATCTCTTCATCCCTTCTATTTGCCTTTTGGTGTTTTGAAGGATGATTTTTTCTTATAGATTGTTCTTCTCCAATTGGTCTTTTTGCAGCTTCTGTCTCCCAATTGAATGAATTGATTTCTGTGCTCAACGAGGTGTTTTTGAGCTGATTCTTGCAAACTCTGAGAAGCAGATTCAGTTAGGTAGGCTGATGTCTGGCGTTTGAGCAAGGTGTCCAGCCTATCTAAGTTGGTAAGTGAGTCATGATGGTTTCTAGGCTCTCCATCTTTATGTGGAGAATTTCATTGTTCATGATCTGGTCCTGCTATGTATTCCATAAAAGTAGGATTTGACAAAAATTGCACATATGGAATATGTCATATATATATATATTAGAGATATTTGTGCCAGAGTGGTATCAGAAATTTTGAAATCAATTTTATTGACTGACTAATAGATGCAAGTTAATGGCAAAAATCATCAGCAAATATTCCTATTGTTATGTCCCAAGGTCCTTGCTGTGGCACAATATATAGACTTGTATGCAGGTCACTAGCAGGACTGAAGTGTCACATACAACACAAACATAAAAAGTGAATGAGGTTGTTGAATCCTCATATGTCGAAATTGATGGGAAAGTCCTTCACACATATATATATAGTAATTTTAAAAAGTTACTCCAAAATTCGCTTGAGGATGAAATGGAACTAATGTCTTTAATTTAATCACAAAATTAAATTCGTGGCTTTTAGCTTCCATTTTTGAAACATGGTTAGAACTGTGTAGCAAAAAAAAACCCATATTTTAAATCAATTAATTTATAATATATATATATATATATATATATATATATATATATATATATATATATATATATGCACATTTCATTGAATATGACAGAGAAGGTGCATCAAAGTTTTTATACAATTTTTCATGTGATCTAATAATTTTTTTTTCAGATGATAAATTATATAAAACTCTTCAATTGCTCTTTTTATCCGAGCACTTTTGACTATACATTTAGCCATTTTTCAAGGTTGAAATATATTAACTCTTAATAAGAAATAGTTTGTTGTATGTATGTATTTACATAATGTTTTCATTTTCAACACACAGTCAAGATATTGTGTCCATGTTCATAGTTGATATTGTTGGGTGTTGTTTTTTGTTTTTATTAATAAGTCTTCCATTATTTTTAGCCTTTTTTGCATGTAAATGATGCTATTATATTTGTGTTGTCAACAAGTATGTTATGAATTGGGTTGGGTAGGTCTCCATGAGTATTTAAATGAGAACTAATTGAGCTACGGTCAGAAAGATGTAGTGTGAGTTTTCTTGTCAAACATGTTGTAGTATGGCCTATATAATTATTTATGAATTTTGATTGATCAGGAATACAATTCCTTAATAAACATTTAAATTCGAAAATAATATTTATCCTATTTAATTTTGTTCTAAGAGGTGAATTATTATTTTTAACTATAAGTTTTGAGGTTTTAAATTTATTGTGATAAATAATTAATCTAATTTTTTTGCTATTGTCTACTGGTGTTGTGCTATTTTTTATATATATATTTTAATTTTGTGCATGCACATTGTTTCTTTTTGATTTTGTTAACTGCACAGTATAGTAGGGTCAGTTGGGAACCATGATACAATTCACTTTGCTAGAAATTTGGAAATGGCATGCTGTACTGCTTGGTATTTGTTTCAGAAGCTCCAATACAAACATTTCAGAGTATTTGAGTGTCAATCTAAGGACAGTGCAGAGGATTTGGAAAGAGTTGAATGAGTTTAATTTGATTACAAAGATATGGCAGCTTGGAAGTCTCACTCTGATCATTCTGAAAGAGTTTGTTGGTGAGGACTTCAGACACATGAAGGCCTACATCAAATGCCTTGAGGACATAATGCTGTCCTGGGTCAAGTGAGTGGCTGCTGGAAGACCATATGTCTGGCAACAGGACTGCACTATGCCATACAAGCAGTAGAACCCAGTCATGGCTATCAGACAATTTCTGCAGGCAAATCACCCCTTAAATCTGGCCACCTAATTCCCCAGATTGTGTCCCTCTTGATTATTATGTGTGGGGTGCATTTGAGCAAGAGACCAACAAAACTCCTTGTAACACCAAAGATGAACAGAAGGCAAGGATTATGGCAGCATTCACCCACTTTCCAGAAGAGTTGCAGGTGTTTTGGAAGTTGTCTGGAGGCCGTGGTAGAAGCCAATCGCGATTTTATTGAATAAATTTAATCTTTAGTATTTCAAGATTTTTGTGTAATTTTGGCAAATATAGCTGTTAAAATGAGATGTCAGTATTATTTTAATTTTTGCATAATTTAGACAACAATTTTTCCATTAAAATTCTGTATATATATATATATATATATATATATGTGTGTGTGTGCATGTGTGTGCATGTGTGTGTGTTGTATAAGTTGTAAAGATGGAGAGAGATTATTATTATTATTGATTTTATTATTATAAATTTAGATTACACCAACACATTTTCATTAACTGTACAACACTTACACTTTCATTTAGATTTCATCAATAATAGAACAGAATGTGTTCAATCTATTATTGTATCAATTTACCCAACATATCAATATAATGATTGAATCATACACCAAAATTTAAATAATTGCGCGTTACATAAAAATAATTATAACTGATGATTATCAGCTGTTTCTTGGTCCATTGCAAGTCTAAAGCCTTCCTCAAGTTTTACTAGGCACAGGGAGTAATGCATCTTATCTTACCATACAGGCCTATGATGTATTTTTAGGTGGAGTTGAATTCAGAGCCACCCTTCTTCAAAACTGGTTGCCTTTTCACTGTTAAAGACTCTAATCTGCTCTACTATTTTACTCATACCTGAGGAGATAACAGATGGATTCAACTTTTTCCAAGAGCATTAATGCAAAAAAATGATTACCAATTCCATTTTCTGTAGCAACAATCCTTATACCATCTGCATGTTCTCAATATTGATATAGCGCGAACTTACATTTCATCAATGGAATATGAAGGGAATGAGGGTGGTTCATTACAATGTGCATGGCATGGTGGGTCTTAGCTGAGGAGGTTAGAACTGGTGGAACTAAGCAATGTTGTCTGAATACTTCCTATGAAAATCACAATAAATTAGTGAGAGGCTTGCAGCATTTTGTCAGTGGGAAAGGGGTTGTAGGATGGAAAAGTATTACTGACAGAATAGTGTGTGTGCATTTTTTCTTTTTCCTAATAATTTGGTAGTGTGAAAAATAAAATCGTATGCTGCTGTCAATAGGTACTGCAATTTAACCACACATGTCAAATAGTTCTGATATTGCAATCCAAAAGTTCAATGTTCAGTAGTTCCACTTTTTTTTAGCATTTCATCTAAAATGAATAACTTCCATATAATTTCATATCTATCTAGTTGTTAAGTTGTCCCGTATGAACAATGTACCTTGCATTTTTGTCATACTCCAACTTAATTATTCCATGAGTTCAACTAATCATCAATTTCATTGTTTTTATTAGAACATTTATATATACTATGTAACCCTTTCTCAGATGTATGCTGCATCTGGTAATCCCTTGTGGATAATATTCAATTATCAAATTTTTAGCCTACTGTTGGAACTATTATTTTATTTTTATTTTATAACAAAAAAAGCCCTTTACATCAAGCAAATAATTTGCAAATCGAGAATATTAGTAAAATCTCCGTTGATTGGTTAATTGCTGGCCAATAAAAATCGAGTTGTAAATTTTGCAGTTGTTGAGTTGACGCAAAGCGAAACTTAATCATCTTAAGTTGGCGTCTTTTTTTTTGTGGGCCGTCTGCATTTTAAAACTTTATTTTTAATGACATTAACGAACTTTAACAGTGCTTTTTACTTTCCTTTTAGTACTCACTCGTTTTCGTTCTCTTTTTACCTTGCCACAAAATTGCATAGTTGTTGACACTATGTCCGACTCCGTTCCTTTTTCTTCACTAAGAAGAGATTTTTTAATAAGTTACAAGAGAAAATACTTCTTGCAAAAGATCGAGGCCAGTCACCTGAGGCATAACAAAAAGTAAGTACAATTTTGGGATCTTGCAAATATATTTTTTTCATTTTTAAAAACCAAAAAAAGATTCTATTGCTACATAATATCAAAATACTGTCCTTCGAAAAATAAGGATACTTTTAAAAATAATATTACTATAAAAAAAACTGCTTAAAAAAATTGTAAATCTTTTTTCCTTGTTAAAATTTTCGTAAAAATGTTTTGTTCTCTCTTGTGCGACTTTTTTTAATTGTCTATTAAAATTATAGCTTAAATAATTATTCTTAGAAAAAAATATACATTTCTTTAAAAAAAAGTGAGTGAAAGTTCGAGTTGTGGAAAGGAAACCTGAATCAGATTGACTCGTACGTACGTCAGCTGGATTGACGTCGCGTATTAGTGTCTTGAAATGATTTAAAAGAAAAATTAAATTATATAGTAATCTCAACGAAGCTTTGTTTAATATGCAGAAGGAAATTATTTTAAACTGGTTAGAAGATTGAATAAATACATTTAAAAATTTAGCCAATTTGTGACGATAACGAACTTTCAGTTACAGACGATAACTGTCGTCTGCTAAATATGCAAAATGAAGAAAGATAGGCACATACAATTGCTTTTAATAATTACTTCAAGTTTGGAAAAAAATAATGACAGTAGTATTAACAATAATGAATACTTAAATAAAAAAAATTATCTACAGTTTTTTCTTGAATTTAGTAGTTTGATTAAAAAAAAAAGTTCAGTGTATTCAATAATAGAAAGAGTGAAGTTCGAGTTTTTCACTTCAAAACTGTCGATACCGGAAAAAAATCTGATCTTTTGACTTGACAGTTGCAAAATACGATGTCGCATTAAGGACAATTTTTTGGGATGTAGACTCAAAAAGAGACGAATATTTTAAAGTAAACTCTCTTCCGACCTCTTGTTTTCCAGTCAACTTTGATCTTCAAAAATTTTAAAAATAATGTTTGTTATCATTTGCCTTCTTATTAATTCCTGTTCTTTTATTGTTCTCTCTCCTTCATGTTTTTTTCTCAAATTTTTTCATACGCCATAAACCCTTGCGTCTTAGTGGCTTCATTGCCTTACTTAGAGGTGAAATGATTAAAAAGAAAAAAGAAAAAAACAAATAAGATATTTATTACGGAAACTCACAAATACAACATTTGTTAATCTTAGACAGTAAAATGAAATCAGCTATTTGTAAGAGTTAAAGATAAATTTTAATACAGATGTGACAGAAAAAAAATTACTTCTATTGAATAGTGCAAAGGAGATAACCATTGAAGTAAAAAGTTAACAAGTCACAAGAAAAAATTATACTTCTTGCAAAAAAAAGTCAAATATTACAGGTTAAATATATTTTTTTTATTTTGCAAATGTATTTTCAATGGCATAAAGATTAAAAATGAACTGGTTGCTAGATAATATGAAAATAAAATAAAGTATCATATTTGACTGCATAAAAAATGCCCAGGAATATTAGGGACATACACCCATTTCATCAGAGAATATTGAAGAAAAAACTTTTTTGTTTTCTTGGATGTTAGTGAAATGGCTTTCATGTTCCCTCAGTTCAAAACAAATTTAATTTTGTGAATTTATATTAACAAATTTATTAATTCCTAGGAGCGTAAGACAAAAATGTGTCTTCTCACCAGGCCTATTCTACCTTTACAGTGAAGCAATCTTGAGAGTATTAAAAGTCCTATGAAGATTCATTATTGGCAGCCACAGTCATTAGGTATGCAAATGATAGTGTTGATAGCAGACACAGAGGAAACTACAAGAACTACAGAAGGTACTAAAGAAAAGCAAGAAAATAAAAGTAAACATCAATTGTAAGAATGTATAGTTGTCAGTAAAAGAAACAGCTCAATATACAAATTACAAATTGGTGAGACCAAAACAAGAAAATAAAAAAAAAATTAAATATTTTGGAAGGATTTTAATGAAGAACAGAAAATGTGACATTGAAATCTAAAAGCACATTGAGATAATGAAAGGTGGCTTCCAAAAGTTAAGCAAAGTATTAAGAAACAGGAAAACTTTATTAGAAAAAAAGGAAAAACATACTGAACTGTTATGTAATATCAGTCCTTCTCACAAACTGATGCAACAAAAATGTGATTCTACAGAAGGACGCTGAGAATACTATGAACTGACCATGTAAGCAACAATGAAGCTTTAGAGGAAATGGAAATTAAGACAGTTATACTTAACATAAAAAGAGATAGTTGAAATTTCTAAGGCACATGACCAAGAAAAAGAGTTTAGAAAATTTGATACTCATAGGACATATTGAAAACAAGATTCAGAGAAAAGTAGTACATAATGTACCTAAGGAACTTGTGTAAATTGTTGGCCAGAACAGGGATTAGGAGAGCTAGCAAAAAGACAAACTTTACTAAGAGCTACAAAGGACAGGAAATTGTAGAGAGCTATGACCATCCACATCCTGAAGGTATACAGTATATAGAAGAATGCATTAGTTATGTGAAAACACATCCACTTCACTAGTCATTCTTTGGCCACATCATATTACACATATTTCTCTGCAATCTTATTGCTATTTTTCCCAGGTTAGTATTTTACCATAACCAGTATTTCCTTTCAGTTATGTTTCTTTCTTCCATAGTTTCAGGCTGGTAAATAATAGGAGTATGTTGAGGCATATTTAGTTGTGATTGATCAGCTGGTGCCAACAAACGGCCACTAGTATGGTTTTGCTCTCCCACCCAATGACAAAACACTATATTTGCTTTTTACACTTTTTTTCCATGTACAGTCAACATCTGGAAGCTTTTGTTTTCAATCCCAAAAATGAACCTCATTAAAGGTTGCTGTTCTTTTTTTAATTTAATAAAAATTCAAGAAACAATAATATTACACATTTGGTGGTAATTTGATGCCAAAAATGCTAAAATTTTAACTTTTGTTGTTTTGAATCTTTGATCCCACATAAAATCTGAAAAAATTTAAATGATTTATTTATTTTTATTAAATAATTTTATTTAAAATATTTAATTTTATTTTAAATAAAATAAAAATAATATAAAATAATATAAAAATAACCATTCTTCCTTTTGTTTTGGAGATAATGGATTTTCATTATTTTTTTTTTTTTTTTTTTTTTAAAACTTTGGGATTTTGCAATACAAGAAGACAAAGACAAGAGAGGTATGAAATCAGGGTTCACACTTAAAAAATGTATAATAAAAACTTTGACCCAGTTGGTCATGATGTGTGACTTCAGCTCGTTCAGTTAAAACTAACATCTGCTAAAAAACAGACCTATAAAACAAATTCTTGAAGAATCCATGGAAAGAAAGCTTATCACTTCAAATATTTAATATGGCTTTATCAATTCTTTACTTGCAGGAATAAAAATATTTTATGACCTTATGTTTTGTTAACACTCCAGTCAGAAAAATGTGGAATATTTTTTATATTTTTTCTTTATACTTTTATCAAAAGATCATGTAGTGTTTGTGACAAAAAGCTTTTAAAATCTATATAAATTAAGATTTAGTAGAATGAACAAATTAAAATTAGAGTCAACACATTATTAAAACATATTTTTTTTAATATTAATGATATCCCTACTGAGTGGATATCAACTTAAAATTTATGGAGAAATATAAAACTTACATCGAATTTAAATCATATATCAGATTATTAATATGCTAAGTTTCAGCTTTTAAACATGTTTAGTTATTGGAAATTTTATACTCTTCAAGTAACATATTTTAAAAATGAGAAGCATTTTTATATTAAATATTCACATGCACTTGTGTCTACTATGACATATGTGTGTGAGATATAAATAAAAGGGTAATGTATAGAGTAGCGAGTAAGAGTTTGTGTGATAGTCTGAGTAGCAATCACATGTAATAGTCTGAGTCAAACATTAAGAAATCTTCCTGTGTCTAATCTATTTTCTTTTGAATGAAAACTGTATTTGCAAAAAGAAACTGGTCTAAAAAAAAAAAAAAATTTTTTTTTTTTTAAAATCACCTCAACTATTTCTTGAATATAAAAATTTTGATTTACACTTTACCTGCTTTCTTCCTTTCCTTTTCTTGTGGACAAGTTGAATATTTTTACCTGGCCAAATTATCACCCCTTCAACCTTCCACAATCACATCCAGTCAGACATCCTGTCATATAAATTTGTTAAAAAAACACAAGAGCCACACCTGGCTAGTTTGTCTCTTCAACATTAACATTATAGTATAGTTGTACATAAAATGGGCCTAATAAAACCTTGTATAAATTTCTAATCAGGTTACCATTTACTCTGTACAAATCTGGAAGCATTTGTTGTTTTTTTTTTCCTGTACAACCTATCTATGTTAGAAAATATACCTTCAATTTTATATACTAGTAACTTCTCCCTACTGTACAACCAAGTCTGATATTTCCTTCCTCATAATTAATAAAAATAATTTTAAAAGTATAGATTTTATTCTATGTAATCTTTTATTGTTTGCATTCTGTACATCATAAAATACATTCTAATGGATCTTTCATAATTTTTATTTTGCTTTTCCTTTTAGTTTACTGTCTTTTGCTCATAAGAAGTGAAAAGATTGCACAATAAATAATGAATTCATTTTGCAGCGAACTTAATATTTGGTCAGTTATATAAAGGAAACATTTTAGATATTCCCCAATTAAAAATATTTAATAAATGATAATGAATAGTGAAGGAGATAGAAAACAAATTAGGTCAAATTATCATAAAATATATAAAGATTTTGAGTACCGATACAAGGTACATCAATATGAAACCTAATGATGAAAAAAGCATTTATTTTTGTACAACTCATATTTATCTTTCCACATTACCTCTGTCCTTGTCAATGATTTCTCTGTTAATCACAAAGATCAAACATAGTGAAAATTTCATATAAAAATCCAGCTAGTAACTGTGTCAGACTATGAAATTATCAATCCACCCTTGTAATTGTAAAATAGTAAGATAATTTTGCAAGCCATAAAAAATGAACTTAATTCTTGCGATGTCCTCTAGAAATGCAACCTTCTGCAAAAAAATAGTGTTCAACAAATATCTATTTAAAAAAAAAAAAAAAAAATGAAGAAAAACATTACTAACCTTTGTAACAGCATTATATCTCCATTGGGTTTGACAATAATCTTTTGAGTGAACTTGTCCTGCTTCATTCCTTCTGTGCTGACCAAATAAAGTTTAGGGGTCCAAAAAAGATGAATCATATTTTCATGGAACACAACTTTGCCTTTGTCCCAATGAGAAATATTTAAACGTGAATCTGTCCAAGATTCACTCACAATAAGGGCAACTGGAATTTGCTGATTAAAAAAAAAAAAAATAATTAAATGTGTATAAAAGTATGTATAAAAAAATGGTTAAATTAAAATGCATACTAGATATTTATATATTTTTTTTTCTGTAAGTAGGATAATTTTATAAACAATTAATTGGTTGAATATATTTATCCAAACATCTATAAAAACATAAATCCCACCAAAATTGACACTGGGGAAATTTAAAGCAACAAAGAGAAATCACATTGTTCCAACTCTTACAAGCTGTGTTTTTTCAACAAAGCAGCCACTTTAATTCAGTTTTCACCAGCTGTCTTTTAATCTTAACTGAGATAATCAAATAACATTCTAGTTGATAGTTGAGATTTGTTAGTTTTATCAAGGGTTTGCCATGTCTATAACCTTTAATTTCTTGTTTGATAAATCAAGACTTTGTAAATTGTTAACTCCCTGTCACTCATCATAATCTTTTCATTTCATTTTATCAAGATATTTTTCCAACAATCATCAAAGTGCAAAATATAAAATGTTTTATAATAGGATTAGCCTTGAACATTTTAAATATGACATAAATTATTATGACCCTTGGAAGTTTATACTCATATTTTTTTTTTTTTAGCTTTTACATATTTATTGCTAGACCATGAATTAGCTCTGGAATATATTTAACTCTATTAATTTATATTTAATAAATACTTAACAGTTGTGTATGGTGGCTATATTATATATATATATATATATATATATATATATATATATATATATATATATAACTGTGACTGCAAGCAGAATTATTTACTCCCTGGCATAAGTATTGCCAAAAAATAAACATGCAAACTTTTTTTTGCATCTCTGAAGTTTTGAATAAAATTTCATGTGATTGAATTTATCCAGGAAGAAAAGATATTTTATGGGAATTTCATAAAATTAATCATAAAATGAATAAAATGGTTTGATTGACTTTAAAAAATATTGCTACAAATTTTTCTGAGAAAATATCTTTTTAAAAAACAAATTCATTCATAATTGAATAATTAACAAAAAGAAAATTAAGGTATCAAAATTGGTTTGTTTTCTTTATTCATCATTTTATTAAAATTCCATAACAATTTATTTTTTTTAAATATTAAAAATGTTCTTCCTAATTGATATAAATTAGTTTTAATCAAGCACTGGGAGAAAATAAAGAAAACATGTAAAAATATAATTGAAAAAGCATATTTTTTAAAAAACATAAAATAAACTCATTTTCATAATTCATGCTATTTCAGTTAGAAAACATTAAAATATGAATTAAATAATTTATTCTAGGTTTGTTATAAATAAAATTATTGCAAAATATGACTTCAACATTAATTTTTAATTAAAAAAACATATCAAAGTTGACTTTGGTAAGGTTTTATCAATCCAGATTTACTTAACATTCATACTTAACAAATCATTTATTACCAAACACTTTGGGACGTCTCAATAAATATATCCAGAAATTAAGGTTTGAGTGCCATAATATTGATATAAAAAAAATACTACTTCATTGCCTTTATAGACTAACAGAAAATGAAGCTGCAATACTTGAAGAGACAAAACTAATCTCAACTTCGGTACTGTATGTGCATGCTTGTGGATAGATATTCTGATAAGTTTCAAAGTTTTCAGCCATCTTTTGATGTAGTAACACTCATACCAGTGCACTATCTAGTGTTTGTTTTAGACAGTAATCCATGCTGAGATGAGGTTCAGTGTGGTGAACGAGTCCAATAGAAGTAGATATCATGTTGTGGAGAGACGCCTATGCTCTAATTGCACTTGTAATAACATTGAAATGCTGAATGGTTATTTTATAAAATTGCTGCACATGATGTATGTGATGCATTAGTAGTGCTTCAGTGTTGGCAGCAGCATTAAAATGAATATCCCTACAACAGCAAAAACCAGGTTGTGGGTGGTCACATAGTACAGATTCCTACCAAGATCAATGCCTTCTCAGAACAGCAGTAACAGATATAAGCCACCCATTATGCAGATCAGAGTAAATGTAGCCTGAGGATTATTAACACATACTGTTGGAATTTTTTGCAGGAATACAGCTCTGCATAACCTCTAGCTAGACATTCATTTATGCATTAAAACCATTGTACATGTCTGTAATGGGGTCATGAAAAGGTTACTTAAGGGATTGAATGGTTCTTCGTAATGTTCAGTGATGAGATTAGGTTCTACTTTATACAAGTGATAGTCATTTGCATGTGTAAACTAGAGCTGGAGAGCAACATCATCCAGAGTGTATTCATGTATGATATACAGCATCAACTCCAAGCATCATGGTATGGCGGGGATTATAAGTGATAAATATCATTCACCTTTGGTGTTTGTTGAAGGGAATGCTGTATAGAACCGGGTACATTCAAAACATTGCTGAACCTGTTCTGTTGCTATTCCTGCAGCAGGAAGGTGATATGCTGTTTCAGTAGGATAATGCCTGCTCATATGATGTTCATGCTATTCAAAAAGCATAGAATAATGTACCATATGATTGTACTTGGCATCTGTATGATCATATGTATATAAAATTATAGGCTTGTTAACTCTTAAGGTGAATATACAGAGTATTGATATAGTTGGAATACTGCTGTTACAATTTTATCTTAGAACCTGTAAATGTCTTGATCTGTATATGTAATTCAGTTATATTACTTGTACTTTTAATTTTGGGTAAATACAATCACATATTACAAAACAATTTTATTTTCAGTTTGGTATATCAGAGCTTCTTAACATTTTTATACCAAAAATTTGGCACAAATTTAAATTCTTTTGTGAATAGACTTTCCATGCAGCAATATCGACAGGGTTAAGAAAAAATTTTGGAATGCTTGCTGTAGAGAAATTCAGGCAAACCTTTAAGCTTGTAATGAAGCTTTTATTCAATGAAATTTGACCACTTCCCATGACTTTTGTAGTTCAAGGGGGAGACAACTACGGTTGCCTTCATCACACTAATGTACTGTATCTTTTCTCAGTTAAGAGATGAATTATGATGCTTAAAATTTGACCACCAAATAAAAGATCTTGGATTGTTCATCTAAAAATATTAACATTTAATAACTTTTCATGTAACATACATGAAATATAACTCATGATTTTTTTTTACTTTGCAAATAAAAATTTGTGCATAAAAAAGGCACACAGCAGTGACTAGAAAAATGTAATGCAAAATTTGTACAATAAGCAAAAACAGCAAAGAAAAAGTTGAATGTTGGTATTTTCATTAATTTCTGCGAAATAGATATTAATGTGCTACAAAATGAATAAGCCATTTTTGAAAAGAAAGGAATTAAGAATTTCAAAAAAACAAAAAAAATATTTGGTCCTTATATGCTAGAGTTCACAGATGCTCTTTCCAAGCATCTCACAAAAATTGATGGGAAATAAATTTCAATATGTTTTATAATGATCAAGAAATGATAATTCAGCAGTCACTAAATTTGCAAATGTATTAGGAATATAATCTTTACACTATTTTTATTAGCTTAAGCATTGTCAACCATTATTGATAATTAAGATTCTTACTTTCATCTTAATTTTTTTAGTTAATTTTATTACAACTTGAAGTTTATGGCAGCAGAGGATTGGAAATATACAATAAGCTCTTGGTAATAATGGTTAACAATGCTTCATCTAAATAAAAAAGAAAAATATTACCACTATTAATGCTAGTGTAAAATAAAAAAACAAATATAGCATTGAGAGAGGTCATAAATAATATTGAATTATAGGTTAGATTGGATCTCTTGCAAAGCCATCAAGTTGTTGTAGCTTTGCCATTAAAGCAGCTGGACATTTACTGGGCTTCTCAATAGACATGAGTTTGTATCTGACCAAGAATTTATTGTTTTATATCTGATCCTGCACTGTCTACTCAATGCAATAGATTGACATCCTGAGTAAAGTTGTGAAAAAAGCAACTAAAAAATTCAGCTGAAAATAAATACTAGTCAAAATTAATAATAGTTGTGAATGTATTATTTGTCTACAACTTATACATTACTTGAAATATGAGATACAACACAATAGGTTGAAAATTTGAAAATGTTGATCAATTATCTGTCAAGTTATCCAGTACTACTTGTCTTTCACTATATGTTTCCCAAATCTGTCAAAATCACTCCACCAAAGAATAATTTTCCATACATTTTTTTCTGTCTTTGAGAATATCTTCTCACACTTTAAGTTCTTTGAACTTTTGTTTAGTACCTCATATTTCTTGAATAAAATGCAACATAGACTTATATGAATATAATGTCAATTGGTTTTAAATGTAAAATAACAAAGTCATAATGGCTTTATATATTATTTAGGTTCAGCAGTTATTTTGCAAATTATACATTCACAAAATTTCAACTAAAATTTGCATATACACAAATTAAAATACATTTTAAAAGATCATTTAAGCCTGTAATTTAAGAATAGCAAAAATAAAAAAGAAAATGAAATAGATAAGAAGAGAAAGTGGGAGTGAAAGAAATTGTGAATAGTCACCATATTTCTAGAAGAGGCCAGAGGTATCTTTCCATCATTTTGAAGTGAGAAGAAAAGGAGAAAAGACCGTGAAAGAATATCAGTGTTTGTGAGAAAGATAACATGATGGCAAAACATTGAGCAGTTTATGAAGCAGAGAGTAAATTTTGCAAGTATATTTAATTTTCTTTTTTTACAGACTTGAAATAAACTTACACTGACAATTCATTTAACCAATCATTGTAACATAATTATTAAAAAAAAAACTTTTCCTCATATAAAAATGTAAATTACAGGGACATTTTCCTGCAGCTATGTTGAAGTCATCAAATTCCAAAGCCATTAATCATTTTATAAACAAACTCAAGTAATTGGTAATTTCTTTTTTAATTAATAAACTGAAGTGCCAAAAAGTTAAAAACCGTAGTACACTAGGGATTTTACCCTTCTCTATTTGTAGAAATGGATTCAGCTATATAGATAATGAAGAAATGTAGCAGTGGCAA